CCAGCTAATGATGACACTTAAAAAAAAAAGAAAGAAAAGTTTAGAAAACATAACATTTCCAATCATCTGAAACCTTCCAGCTCATAAACATTAAGGGTTTAAAACTCACCTCATTTTGGAAAATTCTCGCCTATTTTGCATACCCAGATGGAAAAGCAAATAACTTAGGAACTGTAAGCCCAAATTACGTGTACAGTACATTATTTGAAAGGGAACACCTTCTAGTTTCTGCAAATTGGGTGAGTAGAACACACACCAAGCTGCATCAGTTTAAACATGACTCAAAGTTGTTTTTTTATTCTCGGAAATGATAGGTCTTTTTTGAACAGCAGTGATAAAGACATATTTGAGAAAGGGCAGGTCTCATTACATTAAATTTTTTCTACATCACGTCAACCTCAAATGTAGAAAATTTCAGTCCTCTAGCTACAAAAAGTCCAGAGCTGTGGGGTTTTGAACTTTTAGTGTCAGCTTGGAGCTGCACGCAATGGCTAGTTTACATTTTGACATGCTGCTATATCTGTTTTAACTGTGCTTTGTTGCTTGCTATGTCCATAAAAGCATCTTGGTTGTTGAAATGTGAAGAATCTAAGCTTTCCAATGATGTCAAACTTGTCTATATTGGTAAAACTTAATTATAAGCCCTTATTAGAGACGTCAGAGGAAGTCATGGAGAGACCAGACCTTCCTTTGGTTGTCGCAGCTTCTGCTCTGATGGACAGATGGTTGAAACGGCAGCTGCTCCTTTCTCTCCGTAGACAATAACAGATTAATCGCTTTGGAAATATTACCAGTTGCAAACACAATAATCCAGATCGTCATGACGATAATAAAAGAGCACCACCTACTGCTCTCACTAAGATAATGCTGTTTTAAAACTAGCATTAAAATCCTCCAAACAACGAGTCTGACTGCTTAGCAAGCTTAAGACTTTAAATTTAATACAAGCAATTTAACACTTTCACTAATACTAATTATTTCTAGGTACTGCTGGCAGTGAAGCATCTGAATGAAATAATAACAAAATGGAAAAGATATTTGGAGCATGACCCAGCAGTTTTGTTGTAGGAGCAGCTCTGTGTGCTGATTGGGTGTTGGGTTTATGCCAGCAGATATCATGTGTGTCGAAGGTGATCCTGAACTCTCTAAACTTGTTGTTACATCAGCTTCATCCACAGATTTAAATATGAAGAGGAGTGAGATGTTAAAAATATTCTCCTCTTGATCTGAAACATGAGTCAGGACATGAGGGGATCCCATCAGAGTACGGAGGGAGTTTCGTTCCATTATTTTTGCAAGCAAAAAATACATTAAATTCAGTTAATAAAAAATAAAAAAAATCGATACATTCATTAAATGTTGCACAACATTTTAATAAAACTTGCTTTTACTATATATATATATATATATATATATATATATATATATATATATATATATATATATATATATATATATATGAGTTTCCGTTTTCTAAAAAGAAATGCTGAGAACATCCCATTTCACTTATCTGCACTACTTGTAAATATTGCAGGCTGTTTTGACATTTATTAGAGGCGCTGTCCTCTCTATTGTTCCATTTGTTGATCGCTAAAATAAGATTGTTCCTAGTAATTTTAGATATCTGAAATGTTTTTTTAGATGTGAGGAATGTTATTTTAGATATCTGAAATGTTCATT